AAAAAAAAAAAAAAAAAAAGGAGGAAAGTTATAACTTACCAGCAAACATCATCATATGTTGAAAATTTGATCCAATCTTACTTCTTCTACCCAAATTGAGTAAGAGGGACAAGGGATAAATATTTGCAGCTCTTCCCAAGAAAATAGCAATCTAAAATTATCAATAGGTTAGGGATCATTTCTTAATATTTAGACTACACATTCAAGACGGTTAGAGTCTATTTTAGGGAGCTCAGTTTCTAACACAGTCTCTTGGTTTCATTGTCTAACACAGTGCTGTCCAACAGAACTTTCTACAATAGTGGAAATTTTCTGTACCTGCACTGTCCAATACAGGGAGCATCTGAAATGTGGCTAGTATGAACAAGAAACTGAAAATTTTAAATTTTTTTATTTTAATTTAAATTTAAATAATCCCATGTGGCTAGCTGCAACCAAATTAGACAGTACAGGTCTAACACAGGAAATTTACTAGCTAAAGACAAACATGTTTAAAAGCAAAACTTTTTTACTATACTTTTAAGATTATTAATAGAATAGGATAATTTATTTCATTGTTGGTGTTGGTAGGAAGAGGAGTAATACTGTCTAAACTTTCCCTTCCCTCCTTAAGACAAAGAAAGGGCAGCTCAACTATTTCATACCACTAAAACTCCTGCTAGCCTCAATATACTCCATGGAGTCTATATTTCCTACCTGCTTCAAAGGAAAAATTTAATGTGGAATTCAGATTGGTTTTAACTAGAAGCCAATTTTAATATCTTTTTTTCCAGTTTACTATCTATAGAGACTTCCACTTTATAATTAGAAATTTTCTTACAAGGGTCACAATGAAGTCTCCATCCCATTTCTTAAGAGGAACATAGAGGAAAATCTAAGATTAAAAACAAAACAAAGTGGGAGGAATGTTGCTGGCCTAAGTAACTTTGGACAAGAATGGAGTCTACAAGACTAAAGGCAAAAGAAACTGCACAGAAGCTTTCTATGCTTATAGATAAAGCTGTTTCCCACGGGAGTACTGGTTAACAGTTCTGATACTGTTATACATGTGTACTGGAACTGAACAATCAAGTAAACGGATGGCATGTGGTGGGAGTCAGGTTTCTCACTGTTACGGGGAGAGTGCAATTCAGCAAAGGGAGAAGGCCAGAAGGATTCTATGGTAATGAATTAGAGTTGGAGATATCCGAATGAACTCATGCTTAGCTGAACAGAGACACAGATGGTTACACACAGATATATGAATAGATGCATGAATATACATGAGTTAGTATATACATTCACATTTCCTTGCTCTGTCAGGTGGCACTGAGCACACCAAGTGCCCAGATATTGGTTTCTAATACTATTCTCTAATAAAAGGAACCAGGGCTCCTTGGAGAAATAGCCAATTCTTAGCTGAGGCAGAAAATATACAAGATGAACCTAAAAAAAAATATTTTAGTTCCAGAAAGTAGGGAAGTGCTCAAAAAAATAAAAATAAGGGCCGGGTGCAGTGGCTCATGCCTATAATCCCAGCACTTAGGAGGCCGAGGCAGGTGGATTCCCTGAGCTCACAGGTTTGAGACCAGCCTGAGCCAGAGCAAGACCTAGTCTCTAAAAATAGCCTGGCATTGTGGCCGGTGCCTGTAGCTCCAGCTAGTTGGGAGGCTGAGGCAAGAGAATTGCTTAAGCCTAAGAGTTTGAGGTTGCTGTGAGCTGTGATGTCATGGCACTCCACCAAGGGTGACAAAATGAGACTCTGTCTCAAAAAAAAAAAAAACACAATAATATGTAAAAGAGACACCAGGACTCACTGAAAGAGCTCCCAGTAGCCAAAGTTTGAGCAACAAAATAAAAAAATAGTTGTATTATATTATAACCCCAAATATAAAATAAGTATCAATGAATCCATATTGATACAAATAAATAACTGAATAAAACAATAAATTTGGGAGAATCTCCTGTGTAAGGAATTCTAAATAATTTTATAGACACTCTGTTCTTGAGGAGGTGGAATGTAATTCCCCATTCCTCAGTGTCTGTGCAAAGTGGCTTCCTTCTAGGCAGTAGTATACAGAAAGGAGGAACAAATAAGTAACTTGACAATGGAGAACAATGACAAACACTACCTGAAGCAAGTGATTACAACTACCATCAGCATTGCCAAGTAGGGACCCTCGATATGACGTGATGAGAATGCACTTCACCTCTGTTGTCTTCTTCCCCAAATCTAATCATGGGGGGAAATATCAGACAAGTTCAAACTACAGGACATCCTACAAAATAGCTGGCCAGTACCCTTTGAAACTGTTAAGGGTCACCAAAACTAATGAGCATATCTGGAGCTGTCATAGTTGAGTAGAACCTAAGAAGATGTGACTATTAAATGTAATGGTGGTATCCTGGACAGGACCTTGGAACAGAAAAAGAATATTAGGGGAAAACTATGCAAATCTGAATAAAGTATGAACTTTTGTCACTAATAATATATCAATATTGGTTCATTCATCATGACAAATGTACCATGCTAATGTAAGATGTTAATAGAGGAAACCAAGTGTGGGGCACGTGCAAATTTTTTATATTATCTTCCCAATTTTTCTATAAATCTAATACTTGTCTAAAATGAAACATTTATTAAAAATAGTGATTTCCTAAATAAGAAAAAACATAATGACAATCAAATACATGAGGTGATATGGCGGTGACTGCAAGCTGTCTGCAATATCTATTCTTCTTTCCTTTCGGTAGTAGATACTCCTCTCTCCCATCCCCAATTTTTATCTAGGTACACAGTCACTCAGATAATGAATATAATTCCCAGTCTCTTTTGCAGTAGGTGTAACCAGTGATGTTAAATGGAAGGAATGTGTACATATTCTTGGCTGTGCCCTTCAAGGCAATAGGCAGACACCAGAGTGAGCCACCTTGCACTATAAGAATAAGGGCAACTCTCTAAGGATGTTAGCAACATGGCTGCTTGGGTGCCTCAGAACTTTCTGGAGCACAGCTGTCATACCAGTTCAGACTTTTAGATGAGGAAAAAAGAATTTTTTATCTTGTTTAAACCTGAGTTAATCAGAGTCTTTGTCACATGAAACCAAACCTATATCTTAGCTAATATAGCCAGAAAAAGAACAACTCTCTCCTGTTAAGAGTCCATTTTCATGGCGGGATAGTTTTCATTGAGGAACTTTTATAAAGACATCTATAGAGAATACTTTGCCTAATTTTCCATATCAAATATAATGGATCAAGCCACTTGACTGCTCAAAAATTTCTCCAAGGCTAGCAGGATATTAAATTAATGATTTCATTGTTACCTTTCAGCTAAAATCTTCTCTCATTAACAGGACTTTATCTTTTTACCTGAAGTTCATTCTCAGACTAAGACTCTGCAGAATGGCACTTCACTTTCTAACAGAGATCCTACATATAGTTTTAATTTCTAAAAATTTGTTGCTAATCTCCTTGACAGAATCTTTTTTTTTTTTTTTTTTTGAGACGGAACCTCAAGCTATCCCCCTGGGCAGAGTGCCGTGGCATCACGCTCACAGCAACCTCCAACTCCTGGGCTCAAGTGAGTCTCCTGCCTCAGCCTCCCAAGTAGCTGGGACTACAGGCACCCGCCACAACGCCCGGCTATTTTTTGGTTGCAGCCATCATTGTTGTTTGGCGGGCCCCGGGCTGGGGATTTGAACCCGCCACCTTAGGTGTATGTGGCTGGCGCCTTAGCCACTTGAGCCACAGGAGCCGAGCCCCTTGACAGAATCTTCATTCTGAAGTGGGTTTTTAAAAATATTTATTTTGGAAATACCTTACTGAAAGCTTCTCCTCTCTGACCATCATCACTCCTTCCATGTTTCTTGTTCAATTATCACAATCATTCTTCAACCTCATTGGGACTTCTGGTCCAAAGATCCCTCTACTTTTTCCTCAATCAGTCCTCTCCTTTCTTATCCTCATGCTAATTAATATTCTTTGCAATAACCTACATTTACTTGTCCCTCTCTGTTCTCATCACACCCACCTGACAAAAATCCCAAACCTGGATGTAACTAATTATCTCTTTTCTCCATCCTTACAGCCAAGCAGGGCAGATTGGTTCTACTGCTAATAATACCTCTTCCTCAAACACAAATGGGTCCGTAGTACTGCTTAGCTCTGTCGCTCAGGCTGGAGTGCAATGGCATCATCAAAGCTCGCTCAAGCCTCGAAGTCCTGGGCTCAAGCAATCCCAGTTGTTATAGAGAATGGGAGAACGAATTGATCCTTTTATCAACTCCTAGGACTTGTTTAAGCCAGCCTCTAAGATGGCTGTCAATAATCCCTGCCTCTTAGTAGCAACACTTTTGGGTAATCCCTGCCCAAACTGTACCAAGTTGATATATATGACCAAAAGAATATTGCATAAGTGATGCTGGTATGTTACTTCCAGAATCGGGTTATAAAGGGCACTTCAGCTTTCATCTTAAGGCTCTCTCAGCTTACTCACTCTGGGGGAAGCCATGAGCTGAGCTCTCTATGAACATGTCCATGTGGAGAAGAAGGAAAGTCAGCTTTGTGAAATGAGTGAGTTTGGAGTGGACCCTCCAGCCCTAGTCAAGTCTTCAGAGAGTACATCCCAGCAATCTCATGAGTGCTCCTGGAGCCGAAACCACCCAGCTAAACTGCTTCAGGATTCCCAACCCCTAGAAACTGTGTGAGATAATGAATGTTTGCTGTTTTAAGCTACTAAGTTTTAGGGTAATTTGTTGCATAGTAGATAATGGATATACTACTCAGCTTGCTACTGACTTTCAGATGATCTCACTTCCTACTTTATAGATAAAAATAGAAGCCAGGAGACAGGAGCTCCATCTTACCAATGTACCTTCATCTCGACATACCCTGTTCTCTCCAGTAGCAATGGGACAGCTGTCCCTCTTCCCAGTAAAGGACAAATTCCCTCTCCATATGATTCAGATTTCATCTCTTTCTGCCTTCTTTTGAGGTTTACACTATTGCCTGCTTTCTATCATATGCTCAGCTTCTTCCTTCCAACTAATTTCTAAAGATTTAATTCACTCCCGAGAGATAGAGAAAGAAAGAAACCAAAGCAGCTTCAGTCAACTTTTCCTCATTTGTGCCCTGCTGCCTTGTGGCACAGACTGCTAAATGTTTCCCAGTAGCCATCCTTTCTTTCTTTCCTTTAGTAATAGAGGACAAACAGTTTTATCTTTTGGGGTAGGCAGAACAGTAAGAAACTTTTCTATTACTTTGCTCTGTCAACATTATTTGTGCAATAAATAAAAACAAAATAGGATAGAATAAATAGAATAGAAAATAAGGTGGGGTCCTTATTTGCTTTACTCAGGGAAAATTTTATATATTTAAATGTACTCTCATCAGTCACGTGCCCCAAAGTCATGTGAAAATCTCAGTTAAAATAGTTTTCAAAATAGAATACACAATAAAGGATACAAATGCTCCTACTACAAATGTTGGGTTAAAGACATGGTTCTGGAAGGTGAATAGTGTCAGCCCCATGTAGGAGAAGATGAAATTCTCTGCCAAGAAATTGAGAAGCTCAAACAACTGAAATGAAAATTTTAAAAGGTTAGTTCAGTAAACAAATCAGTCATATAATTAGAAAACATGAGTATTATTAAGATAATGAAACAGACACTTTGAATACGTGAAGTTCATGCCTACACCTAAAAACACATGATTCAGAGGGGAGCAAATGTAGAGACGACAATGTCCAGTCCTACAGAAAAAGCCAGAAATGTTGCTTTCTCACTTTCTCCAATCAGCTTCTCTTCTCCAAACCACCCCCATCTTCAGTCACTTCTCCCCTCTTTCTCCAAACCTTGCCAGTTTTAGCTTAGCTTTCATCCACTCCCACCCATAATACTGCAGAAGGACCCTGACTGGTATCCCCGCCATCCCTATCCCAATCAGTGAACCTTTCTAAAAATATCAGTTTCAGGATATTTCCTGCTTTATAAGCTAAAAGATTCTGTTTAGCTTTTTATACTGACATAAAATGCTTGGTGACAACTCTTATAACTGGCTGGCCATATGACTTCACTTTTTCCACAGGTCTTAGTCCTCATATAGGAACCAAGCTTCCTGCAGACCCAGCTTCTTCCGTATAATCCTGCACTCCATGTCCTCACCTACTACCCGCCCACTCCACCCTGTTCACACCAGGCCTCCGTATGTGTTACTAACTCAGCAAGTGTGGGAGACTTGCTGAATGAAGAAAGTTAAGACCCTCCATGACCTGCTGTCCTTATGGCCACCACAGTTATCTACCACTGCTCTCTACCACAAGCCTCCACCCCACAACAGGACAAAAGTTAAGAACATGGGCTCGAGAATCAAAATGCCTAGGCTTGAACTCTGCCTTCCCTACTTGCTAGCTGTGTAGCTTTTGGCAAGCTCATTAATTCTTTAAAACCTATTTTTTATTACCTAAAAATTGGAATAAAAATTAAAATAAGTATATATTTAATTTTCTTTAAATGATTTAATATACTATTATTACCATTTAATATATTATTACTATTATGCGATTATTACTTATTCTTGTTCAATTCTAATAAGCTACATTTTAGCCAGTGTTGACAAGGTGCTCAATACTATATTAAGGACTTTACATGTATTATCTCATACTAATTTCACAACAATTCCATGAAGTAGGTACTATTAATATCTCCATCTAAAGATGGCAAAACTGAAACACAAATAAGTTATGAAACTTATTGCTGGTCACACAGCGAGAGTGGAACCAGAACTTGAAACACCATAGTGATTCCCAAGTCCCAGTTTTATGCCACAACATGGGCCTACAAAATTTTCCTGTGAATGGCCAGAGAGTAAATATTTGAGGCTTTGCAGGCTACAAGGTCTCTGTCACAACTACTTAACTCTGCCAGGATAGCACAAAAGCAGCCACAGAGTATACATTAAAAAGAAATGGATGTGGCTGTGCTCCAAGAAAATGTTACTGATGTCCAGATGTGGAAGAAAAGAAAAAAAGAGAAAACCTTACTGATAGACATGAAAATGAAAATTTCATATAATCACCATAGGTTACAAAATATTCTTCTTTTGATCTTTTTCTAACCATTTTAAAATGGATGGAAATAAAATCGTCCTTCACTCATAGATCAGCAAGGGCCAGATTTGGCCTAAGGACTGGAATAGTCTAACTATTCCTCAATACTTTACTGCCTTCTTTTTATTCCTTCCTTTTTCTGTACTGCGCCCCCCTCCCCATTTTTCCCATCCTCTTAAGCTCACCACTTCCTTTACAATAGCATTCCAGTTCCTCAAGCCTCAAACCATTTCCCCCCTTATCTGATGTCTTCTATGACACACAATCCAAAGCACACAATCTAGAATTGCTATGAGTCATGTTTTTTTTTTTATGTATATAAGCTTTGCATCACCAATAAACCAGAAGCTTTCGTCCTGTTCTTGCTTTTCATTCATAACTCCATTACCTGGAAAAATGCTGAACTTCCCAGCTGATTTGCTCCTCTATATTTACTGTACTAAATTAATTTATAAAAAAGACTTATAACCTCAATGCTTAGGCTTGGAAGGGGAAGCTTAACCTCTTCTGAGGGTTGGGGGGAAAATAGATCATAAACTAAATCCATGGCTCCAGAAGAAGAAAAAGTACTCTTGCTCCTCTTTTAGCACCAGTCCTTTCCAGGCTAATCTCACTATGTTCTAATCATTTAGCAAAACTTAAAAAGCTTCTATTTCTCACTATAACCATAGGCAAGTAAGCATCTGTTTCTATTCCAGAAATTACATTTGGTTCATAGTTTTGTCCCATACACCTCATAAAGCTGGAAAATTTTATGCCTATTCCTTTAAGATTCCCTTCAGGCATCCTGTGCAATTGATCATTCAGTACTATATGAAGCCTGACCACTGACACAGTTCCCTGACCCTTGACGTTCATGTAACGTAGCAGTTTTGCAGTGTCAGGGTAAAGACTGAAGGAGGTTAATCTCTCGGTACACCCCGTCAGATTGTAAGTTAATCTTATCTATATCACACAGCAGTAGTTCTAGTCAAGACAAAGTAGTTTCCAAAATGTTCTTCTTAAAAGCCATCAGATTAGGAAAACACTAAGAGAAAAGGAAGCTAACTGACTGTGTACTGGAGCCACAGTAATAGCCCCTGGCTATTCTGCTGACCTATCTCTACCCTAAAAGTTGTCACTCTTTAATCTGCCAATCCCAACTATGTCTGGCATCAAAGGAAGAGAAGCTGAAATGCGCAAACATCATTTTGAACAGATCAAAGATTACTTTTAAGTAAAATGACTTCCATTGTGCTGAAAGAACAATAAAGTTAATTCATAAACTATGAAGTTTCTCTTACCTGTTTAGTTCTATGCTGAGACTCCGTGGACAAATTATTATATGTATAGTGTGCTTGTGTGATGCCACAAAATAATACTGCGACCACACCTATAAAGACATCAAGTCACAAGTTCACATAGAAGAATGGTTCCCAAGTTTTACACCAGTTCTTCTTTTACAGAAATTTTCATCTGTGACTTACTTTGTTGAAAGGAACCACTTCCATTGCATACCTTTTTTATATTCTAAAGTGACAGTTTAAATCCCAACCACAAGTATGTTCAAACACTAAACGAGGTGATCTACTCATGTGACTGGCAAAGTCACTCGTAAGTGCTTACAATCAAAAGGAGAAAGTAACCTACCTGTAAAACCCCATGCTTCAGCCAAGAGAAAGGTACTCCAGGACATCAAGAAAAATAGGCCTGTTTCCAACAATTGGAACTCCCGTAATTTGGTGAACTTTGTCACGTGAGACTGTTAAGGTTGGTAACAAGATCTTGTAATACAGATGTGCGACTAGAAAAAAACAGTCTAGGCTCGGCGCCTATAGCTCAACCGGCTAAGGTGCCAGCCACGTACACCTAAGGTGGCGGGTTCGAATCCCCAGCCCGGACCCGCCAAACAACAATGACGGCTGCAACCAAAAAATAGCCGGGTGTTGTGGCGGGCGCCTGTGGTCCCAGCTACTTGGGAGGCGGAGGCAGGAGACTCGCTTGAGCCCAGGAGTTGGAGGTTGCTATGAGCTGTAATGCCACAGCACTCTACCCAGGGGGACAGCTTGAGGCTCTGTCTCAAAAAAAAAAAAAAAAAAAAAGAAAAAACAGTCTAAGCAAAGCAAGTAGGAAAGCAAAAGGATTTTACAGCTTTATACAAAAGTCACTAGATAAGGAGGCACCACAATGAAGAAACTCTTAAAACGGGCATCGGTCCTTCCCTTCAGTGAGGACATCTTACAGTTTTACCACTCGAATTGTTCTATGGTTATCATATACCTTGCCAGAAACCAGGAAGTAAAGAATAGGTAGAGACAGGAGCAACAGATCAGGTAGACAAACATGTCAACTCTATTAACTTACGACCTAAAAGCAAGACACCTTCCCTAATACAGCAATTTACATTGATAAAAACACATAATTTCCATGAGATTTCACATTTATTTGATCCTCTAATACCTCTGTGATACATAGCATTCATTCCATGATGAGGAAAGGGAGGCCCTTCACTTGATTGTATAAGTCTAACAAGTATTTGACAGTGGAAGGGCTTGCGCCAAGTTATTACAAATCTCAGGCTAGGATCTACAGTCACTCAACCACTAGGTACTACAACAAAATGATTAACAAGATATACTTCCTACCCTTGAGGGACTTATATTAGGGAAGAGATACTATCTCTACTGGCTCATTCTTCAGAAGTCTTTTTATTGCCCCTCTATGCCTCAGTCCACCTACATAAAACTGTAAAAGCAGCCTCTTCTAGCAGAAGGCTCAAGTGTATCAAACTGATTCTTTTTTTTTTCTTTGAGACAGAATCTTACTTCATCATCTTCAGTACAGTGCTATGGCATCATAGCTCACAGCAACCTCAGACTCCTGGGCTCAAGTGATCCTCTTGCCTCAGCCTCCCATGTAGCTGAAACTACAGGTGCCCGCCACAATGCCTGGCTATTTTTAGAGACAGGGTCTCCGCTGTTGTCAGGCTGGTCTCTAACTCCTGAGCTCGAGCAATCCGCCTGTCTTGGCCTTCTAGAGTATTAGGATTACAGGCATAGCTGTAAGTGATTCTTGAAAAAGAATGGTGTATTTTTTTTGAGAATAATTATCATAGACGTTTTAGAGGGGGAAACTCTTTAGAAATCATCTAGTCCCACTCATCCTTCCCACTGTCCCCACACTCCACTTTCCTACACTGAGATCCAAAGAGGTGAAGTATCGAAGCTTCTATCACATGTGTCTGCCACTGTATGAAAGCTCCAAAGAGGCAGGGGTCAATGTTTGTCTTGTTTAGCTTTGATACCCCAAGGTACAATATCTGGCAAATAGCACATAATCAAGAAATGTCTCTTTAATGAACACAAGAATAATAAGTCCAATATTTTTAATAGCTAACTAGGAGCAGTACTAGGACTCTAAAACCTAGGTTCTTTGGGCATCTCAGGACACTACAGTACAAAGTTTAAAATTAGGAGAGCTGAAGTGAACCCATATATCCTAACCCAGGAACCATATTTTGTTCATTTGGTATCATGGTTGTAGATTTTGTCCTACTAAACAAAGAGCAAAAGACTGCCAGGCTGACCAGCAGCAAAGAATACCCAGAAGCTCTTTGGAATATATCCTTTATATCAATTTAATCTATACCTTAAAATTTACTCTCAAAGGGATACTGCATCTAATGACACTTTTGCATTAAAAGTTTTAGGGCATGCCAGGCATGGTGGCTCATGCCTATAATCCTCGCACTCCGGGAGTCCAAGGCAGGTGGATTTCTTGAGCTGAGGAGTTTGAGACCAGCCTGGGCTAGAGTCAGACCCCCTCTCTAAAAATAGCCGGGCACTGTGGTGGGCATCTATAGTCCCAGCTATGGAGAAGGCTGAGGCAAGAGGATCACTTGAGCCCAAGAGTTTGAGGTTGCTGTGAGCTATGATGCCATGGCACCCTACTGAGGGCAACAAAGTGAGAATCTGTCTCAAAAACAAAAACAACACAAAAGTTTTAGGGCACTGTGCCCTGTGCAGAACAATGAAATTACTTATTTATTTATTAGCAAAGCTTATTGCTTAATATTTTCAAACCAAGTACTTAAGTTATAAAGTTAATAATTCTAACACAATTCTAATCATGAAAAGTATAAGAAACCATAGAATATGGCATACGGCTACTTGTTAGAAAAGATAACAAAGAAAAGAAGAAAAGATAACAAAAGGATATTAAAGCTGTCACCACTCCTGTAGCAGCGCCCATAGCAAAAGATCCACTGAAGATCCCAAGGAAAATTCCAATCGACTTGAACATGGCTGTGACATCAAAGGTGTGACTGTTATCTCCAGCTGGCTGGTATGCCACTATTGAGCTAAAGAAGAGAAATTGCTCTTACTTCTAGAAGCAACTTATACTTTAAAAACATTGTCTAGTATAAAGCTTGAAAGATGAAATTAGAGGGAGGGAAAAAAAGCTCTACAACCTTTGGATTTGAATTGACAAAATAAAGACGAAAAGTTACCAAAAACCCTGCAGTATATCCAGCTAGCAAAACAACTTGGCTTTTTCTTAAATGACAATTGCAGTAGGTAGAACATTTTTAAAGTCCTCTATATGAAAGTTGTACCAAGCCTTTTTCTCCATCCTCAAGATACTGTGCAGTGTTATTCTTTTGTAATTTTGTTTAAGAATTACTAGTATTAAGTGCTCCAAAGCCCTAACATACTAATGGGAACAAGCTAATGAAAAATCCCATTTGTTTCCAACAGAAGCATAAGAATATAAAGGATATTGTTCAATACTCAACCCAGTCACATTTTATTTTTCCTATGGGAAAAAAAGGTGACTGAAGGACCCCTTCCAACTTTTAGAATACCAGCATGGGCCAAATGCCTAATATCTATTCACTCACTGAAATGGACTTTTATAGGAAAAAGGGTTCAAAAAGCCTTCTAAGGAATTAGAATCCACTCAATAGCACTTTTCGCAAAACCAGCTGGATCCTCTACCCCAAACTTCTGAAAGAAAGTCACTCTATACCAGGCCAAGACAGGCAATTACAGGAGACACTCTCCACCGTGAACTCATAGTCTAAACCTGGCCTGAAAAAGCTTCTTTTATAACAGTCACCCCAGGAAATAAAAATAGCTGAGAAAATCGCTGTTGCCAGCAGGTCTCTGGCAACAGTGCTTACCATTATTAAATCAGTTCTCATCTCGGTTAATTGATGGACCAGTCTTATAAAAAGTCCAGACTCAAAGACATCATACAAGTCACGTCAAAGAAAAGGAGAAAAAACACATTCCTAAGAATATAATGAATTCTCTCTGTGGTTACTGCAATTTTTTTTTTCTTGATTCAAAGCTAAAAAAATGTGCTTGCTATATCATGTAAATTAAAACATGTTCTTTTCATACCTCCCAGGTTAAGGAAAAACCCAAGACCAAGCTAAAATATTCTGATTTGTATCTATTTTATGGAAGTATAGCATTAACTTTAATTTCTGATAATAGTATCTAGAAATTTCAGAAACTCAATCTGAATTGAAAATTTTAAATACTTTCATTTAAATGTACAACTGTTTAACTGGATAATTTGGGTACTAGTAGATTTGATACTGTTTTGATCAATATGAAATGACCTTTACTATCACGCTAGCTTACCTAGGTATAAAGGTTCTCACCACCATGAATGTGATTTGATCACATTATAACATTAAAATATAATAGTTGGCTGGAGGAAAGAAAGGCTATTGCTACAACAACCTTCTTTCTCTTTGGTGATATTTTTCAAAATGCTGGCTGGAACAAAATATCTATGCCATGCCTCCTGAGGTTGTGTTCCCTGGATTAGTATATGCAAATCATTATTTCATTCTTTAAGCACTAAAATGTACAAGAAGACATGTACATTTTCTATGGACTGAGAACAGAAGAGAAGTTCATTTTCTTCTTTTTAAGGCAAATGCTGGCCTCTGAATTGAAATCTTAATTCATCTTTTGTACATTTTAGCTTGAGGCAGCAACATATTTTTTAAATCCTGAAAATAATACAATGTACAGTTTAGGGGGAAAAAAACATGACCTCATCATTCCATTGCCCTGGCAGATCTATTTTATTTTCCTTCTGTATTCCTTTCCCCTCTTTTTGTTAGATGCATGCTAATTCATATCTAGTCATAATCATAGGGAAACATACAGTTCTCAATTTTGTTTCTACAAGTCATAGTCTTTATAACCATGGTTTGTAAGACTGAAAATGGTCCAAATATATATAGCATAATTTAACCAAACCATTTCCCCATTGTTAGAAAATTAAAAGTTGCTTTTAATATATTTGCTACTATAAATAACAGTATGAAAGAACATCGTTGGGCTTTCTACTGACTTTGGACTATTTCCTTGCATTACCATTCTAAACTGGGACAACCAAAACATACCTGTGGTTCTTTTTACATGTTGCTCCACTGCTTTCAAAAGCTTTTGATTATATTTTTGGAGGGAAATATGACGATATCTGTCAATTTTTTAATGATCATACCCATTGACCTGGAAATTCTACTTCTAAAAAACAGCATATTTTTGTGCCATAACTTTCATTTTTTAATCGAACATTGTTAAAAATGTATTATTTCTTTTTGATGAACGGTAAAGAAACTTGTTTATAATATACCCTGAATAAAAATTTTCCAATCTTATTGGGAAGAACACCATTTAAAAAAAAATTTTTAGATTAATATGAGGGTATGAACAATTAGGTTACATTGTTTGTGTTTGTTAGGTAAAGTCCGTGTTATAGTTGTGTACCTCACCCAGGAGGTATGCCATGTACCCTTACATCATGCCTATTAGCATGATGACAGCATACCAGTCCCCCTCCATCCTTCCCTCTCCTCCCACCAACTTGAATTCAATTGAGTTTTTCTCTTGTATGGGCATGTTTTTGTTCCTCTGCTGGCTTCATATTAAGTACATTGGATTCTTGCTTTTCCATTATTCTTTAATAAGTAGAATGCTCCCTTTAAAAAAAAAAAATCCTATAAGGACCGGGCACAGTGGCTCATGCCTGTAATCCCAGCACTTGGGAGGTGGAGGCAGGTGGATTGCCTGAGCTCACAAGTTCGAGACCAGCCTGAGCAAAAATGAGACACCCTCCCCCAACCCAGTCTCTAAAAAAATAGCAGCCCATTGTGGTGGGTGCCTATGGTCCCAGCTACTTGGGAGGCTGAGGCAAGAGAATTGCTTAAGCCCAAGAGTTTGAGGTTGCTGTGAGGTATGACACCATGGGCACTCCACTGAGGGTGACAAAGTGAGAGTCTGTCTCAAAAAAAAAAAATCCTACAGAAATATTATCAAAGATTCACAGTGATTTACACATAAATATGTTCCATACCTATGCTAATCATAATAATACAATATTAGGAAATGCCAAATACAAATCAATAAGAAATTGAGATAAATTTATAATGCATTCATCCAATGGGACAATAAAGGTATTAACAGACAATGTCCAAGTGAAAAACAAAGCAAGTTACAGAAAAATATATATAGTACCATGTCTTTTATTATTTAAAAATTATTAACATACTTGTACGTATATTAATATCTTGATAGAAAAAGTCTGGATAAAAACCATAATAGTGGTTATTTCTGAGCTGAAATTTCAGAAAATTTTTACTTTCTGAGTCAAATACTTTGAATTTTTGTCACAAGATATGTTAGTTATTATCACCATAAATAATGATAAAAGGTGATAGTAATTTCAACGTTAACAACAATGTATGAGTAGTCTAGTTTTACCATACCAGGGTTTCTCAACTTTAGCACTGTTTTTTTTTTTTTTTTTGAGACAGAGTCTCCACTCAGTGGAATACTATGCAACTTATACTTTATCTCTAACCAGACAGACTATACATAGCATACTATATCCGTATATATACATTTACCTCATACAGCATGTATGAGGGAACCTGTTTCGCTTCATCCTCACCTGATTAAAAGTAACATTAAAAAAAACCCAGAAACAGTATCCTCAATGAATCCCCAACAATTAAAAAAAAAAAAAGCAGAAACAAAAACAACTTCCAACATAAGTGTCAAGAAGAGTTGCCTTAACCTCTTAAGTGTCAAACAGAACTTCAGAAAGTTCTCTCCACTTTGATGCAAGGATGCTTTTACAGAATATATATAGTAGATAATCATTAAACTAATGCGATTCAACACAAAATAGACCATTTTTATCTAAACTACTTAAAAACACAGAAAAAGCAAATGAAACATGATGATCAACATATCACTGAGCATTCTAGCTAGTAACCTCCCACAGCCAGCGATAGGACTGGTTTCACTTCAGCTTTTGGACAGGTACACATTTGCTCAACTAACAACTGTTATGATGACACTCTCCAGATATTGTCCTTCTCCACCAGAGTTCTACCAGTGGATGTAATGACTTAATTTATCTCCTATCCATCTAGAATGTTACTAGTAATGTACCATCTTTAGGGGAATTGAGAAAAGAGTTATTCATATTCTTTTCTATGAAGCTTCATCCTCTCACAAAACTCTTTTTGAGAAAGGCTAAAAGAGAAGGATGAGCATGGCCCCATGTAAGAAGTGCTATGGAAAGGGCTTTCTGTTTTTAACACATTTATTCTTCACCAACACTGATATGTACACTCCTGAGCTTCAAATTTTCCATTGAGGTTTTCTTCTCCCTTTAACACTATTCATTTGTTCCTAAAATTGAAAGAAAGAGGTTACTTACATCCCCAAGCTCAAAATCTTTCAATGAAGGTTTTTTTTCCCTTAACACTGTTCAACTGTTTCTAAAATTGCAGGGAATGGGTTGCTTTATTAGTGGGAAAAACTAAGGCATGGGACACATCAGTTTAAGATAGGACCACAACAGAGATTTTCTGACTCTTAATCCGTTAGGGCAATGATAAAGGAACACTTACTAGTAAGATGATTAAAACAGTAGAAGAATTATCTAGGACAGGGAATTGATGCTAAGAGTAACTGCCTGTAACTTATTCTCTTCACTTAGTGGTGCTTGTGATCTCACATGGACCTACATACTGGAAGCTTTAATAATCTCTGTAGCTTCTTCTTTTTTTCTTTTTTTTTTTTTTAAAAAAACACATACATTATAATCACATTACCCATTTCTCCCCTCCTTGAAATAATATAAACTTTTACTTGGTACCAATCATCATTAATAGGGCTTATATGCAGTACTGATATTAGTTACAGCCTATAGGTTTTATTTCTCAGGTTAAATTTATGTAAGTTGTAGACAGACACAAACATTCTAGAAATAAATATGGTGGGTAACATTTACATTCACTGCATTCACAAAAAAGGATTTGACCTCTGTACATCATCACACACAACATTTTAGGGATCAGTGTTATATCTTAGAAAGACTAATTTCCAACTTTGCAGTAAGGCAATGGGGGTGATCAGGCTGTGTAAACCAGAGTCAGTGATTTTATGCCCTTTTATAATTAACAAAGTAGAAATTAAGAAGATAAAAATAAAGAGAAAATGTGAAGGGTTCTTACTTCTCTCTCATAGAAAGTTCTGGAATAAGGGAACTGTCTATAGGGTTGGATTTTAGTTTGTTTAGTTAAGAGTAGGCCAGTAGGATTAAGTTATTCAGAGGTTCAGGCCCATTCTTTTACCTGCAAACACTTTGTAATAACATGTACAGTACTTTCTATAATTAGATAAATAATATTGTTTACTTTATAATTGTATCCAATAAAAAGTATATAGCTTAACACTTCTAAAGATTAAACATGTTTCTGAAATGATTATGTTAAATAAAATAAACAAACTATAATGGGATATTTCTCAATTATCAAGTTGGCAAATATATAAAAGGTTTGACAAATATGCTGTTGGTGAAGCTGTGAAGAAACAGATACTTCCATAATTTAGTGGTTAAAGTACAAAGTATAATCCCTTTGACACCCAATTTAGCAATATCTACAAAATTATAAATGTATTTATCTTTTAACTCATCAATCTCACTTCCGGGTATTCACCCTACAGATACATCTATGCATGTACAAAACAAAGTAGTTCATCATTGCAGCACCATCTGGGGCAGCAAAGAATTAGAAGCCCTTCAAGTATCCAGAAATAGGAGAATAAGCAAATAAACTATCATACAGTTCATACACAGAATACTGTGTAGCTACAATGTATGAGAAAAACTCCCTATTGGTAGGGAAAATTCTCCAGAACATACGTATGTGATAGAACAGAAGTAGTATGCTGTTATTAAAATAAAAATGAGGCTCGGCGCCT